ATTATTTGGCCATTGAGGCCACAACTGGTCATTTGGCCATTGAGACCACAACTGGTCATTTGGCCATTGAGGCCACAACTGATTATTTGGCCATTGAGGCCACAACTGGTCATTTGGCCACTGAGGCCACAACTGGTCATTTTCTACTGCGATACAAACAGACTTAAAGGAACCTTTAACGTTTTAAATAGCTTAGATAAAATGGTAGAAGTTATATTTTTTGTTTTACAATCATTTGTTCATCAGCAAACAAGTTAAAGTTCCATGCGATCCTAGCGACAAAGATACAACTACTCTCATAAACAATTGAGCTTATACTATAAGCTTATGTTATAAACAACAATAGCTTATAGAATACAAACAACAATACGAATAGTTGAGTGAACTTTAACAAATTTATTTTTATAAATGCTAGATGGTCTCTGCCTCTCCGTCATTATAAATATTTAGAATAACTGTCAAAAATTAAATAACTTTGGAACACCTAATTCCTAAATTAGTTCCCATATTTATATTATTAATAAAATTAATTTGTTATAATCATGAACATTGAGACATTTTAGACTGGCAGAAAACATTTTCCAGGACCAAAAAATCAAAGTTTCCACCTTAGCAAGAAAATTTTACAGCAATAAAAGCTAATCCCTGAAGGAGGCAAATCAAAGTACCGTGTAACACCAAAAGCCAATTGTTAAATTGCACGTATAAAAACATATATTTCTTACAGGAAGCATTTGACAAGCGAGCAAAAAACACATATTCATTCATAAAATATATTCAATCATTCATAAAAACGCATATTCACTACCGCGAGCATTTAACAAGCGAGCAAAAACACATATTCATTCATAAAATATATTCATTCTTTCATAAAAAAAAAACACATTAATTACCGCAAGCATTTGAGGTGCCCCGACGCAACCAATAGAAGGTCGGGCATATTAACGAATCTAACGAAACCGAGAGCTTCTTTCCGACAACCGACAACTTTTCGAACACAACCGACAACTTCTCGAGCACAACCGACAACTTCTTCCCGACAACCGACAACTTCTCGAGCACAACCGACAACTTCTCGAGCACAACCGACAACTTCTCGAGCACAACCGACAACTTCCCGAGCAAAACCGACAACTTCTAGAGCACAACTGACAACTTCATGAGAACAACCGACAGCTTTTCGAGCACAACCGACAACTTCTCGAGCACAACCGACAACTTCTCGAGCACAACCGACAACTTCTCTTCGACAACCGACAACTTCTCGAGCACAACCGACAACTTCTCGAGCACAACCGACAACTTCTCGAGCACAACCGACAACTTCTCGAGCACAACCGACAACTTCTCGAGCACAACCGACAACTTCTCTNACATACAACCTATGGTAGCTTCACATACAACCTATGGTAGCTTCACATACAACCTATGGTAGCTTCACATACAACCTATGGTAGCTTCACATACAACCTATGGTAGCTTCACATACAACCTATGGTAGCTTCACATACAACCTATGGTAGCTTCACATATACAACCTATGGTAGCTTCACATACAACCTATGGTAGCTTTGCAGGTACATCAAACTTTAGGTACCATGAAGGAATACCATCAACATGAAGCCTGCTTTAATTCATTTTAATGTATTGCAATAACTGACGATTTATAAGACGAAATAACGGATAATTACCCTTAATTTGAACTACCCTAATTTATAGGGCGAAATAACGGATTATTGCCCTTAATTTAAACTACCCTAATTTATAAGGCGAAATAACGGATAATTACCCTTAATTTGAACTACCCCTAATTTATAAGGCGAAATAACGGATAATTTTTAATAAGAAAAATACCAGAGCGAATTGTAGTTGAGAAAATTTATGTGGTATCCTTTTTTTGAAGAGAAGAAATTGAGAGAATTTTCGTAATATTTTATGACATAAATTTATGTGGTATCCTTTTTTGAAGAGAAAAAATTGAGAGAATTTTTGTAATATTTTATGACCTAAATTTATGTGATATCCATTTTTGAAGAGAAGGAATTGAGAGAATTTTCGTAATATTTTATGAATTGTATTTATGTGGTATTCATTTTTTGAAGAAAATAGCTTGGATATTGAGAAAATTTTCGTAAGTGATTTCAAACTCAAAAGGTGTCACGGACATTAATCGATCGTTGGTGTGTTTTTTGGATCATATAAATATAATTAATAATATTGTTTGTGCATTTAAATTTGTACGGCGGGGTTGAAAAATTCCACCAAAAATAATTAAATAAATATTTTTCGTTTTGATTGTGTTGGTGGTGAGAAATATAAGAGAATTGAGGGTTTATTATCACAATTCAGGTTTTATATTCAGAAGTTAGTGATCTTTAGTGTTCTGATCACTAACTTTAGAAGTTAGTGATCAGAAGTTAGTTATCTTACGATGATGTGATAAGGCGTATATATAGAATATACTGCGAGCAATAGATGGAAGTTCCCCACATATATACTAATGAACATATTATTATTTCCACTGGTTTAATAATTATTTTTATTATTTAATGTATGGAGCAATATATTAGAGAAGTGGATGGAAATTCCCCACATATATACTGATGAACATATTATTATTTTCACTGGTTTAATATTTTTTTTTATTATTTAATGTATAGAACAATATATTAGAGCAATTAGTTATTATTTATTATTTGTGTTAGGTATTTTATTAGTTGCGTTATTTCTTAATTGCGTTATTTTATTTATTTGCGTTAAAGAGTATATTTGTTCTTAATTTTATTAAGATAATCAAAACTCCGATCTTATTTCTTGAGTTTTTTTACTGCAACGGGTCTATCAGGCTATAACATATTCGGAACTTTATTGAACAAAAAGGAATTTGTTACGAACTGAAAAGCAGTTATTTATTTATAGCAGATATTTATCCTTTAATTAATTAATTCGTACCCTTATGACCTCATCAAATAGAGACATATGAAGGTATATTAGGAAAATGGAACTAAAAGTTAAATCTCATGTTTGTTATCATTTGGACAAGATAACAAACTTTAGTAATTCGAATTGCTTCTTTCCTGTTTAGATTATGAGGTTACCTGAAAATTAAAGTTACATATTGTTCTTATATTATATACTTGAGGTATACACAGCCTGATATACACGAGGTATACACAGTCTGATATACATGAGGTATACACAGCCTGATATACATGAGGTATACACAGTCTGATATACATGAGGTATACACAGCCTGATATACATGAGGTATACACAGGTCTCTTATACACATCT